TATCTGTTACTTCTTCCAGGTTCCGTGGTATAATCTTCGCTTCCTGCTTGGCACCAGTCACGGATGATGCATGACGAATCCAAGCTTTCAGTCGAATCTCGATGCCATGTTGCATATGCACAGGGATATTAGGCATACGAACATTTTGCAGGCCCTTGTACTGCCCTCTCGTGCTCATAGCACCCTCCACATTTACTTGCACTGTTCCATTATTCTCCCTTCCACCCCATCGTTTGTGACGCTCAGGCAAAGCGGATGCCGCCAACATCAAAAGCCATGACGACGTTGGATACTGGGCCTTCCGTTGGTAATACCACATGTGCGAGCGACGAGCTTGACTGGTATACCAGCGCCGTCGGCGAGACACCCTGTATGCCCTCTCCTCCCCCTGTCCGCGCTTGCCGTTCGTCTGATCGCGATCCGCAGGCGCAACGTACATGCGGCTGCGGCAAACATGCGACCAGTACTGTTCGTGTGGCCGACCATGCTTCCTCGAGTGCACGTACTGACTCAAGGGCTGACCGCGGCACCATCGCCGTTTGCGTGCACAGATGAAGTGCCCCAGATGAGCCGCGAGCCTCCTGCAGACCACTGCTACGACAACAATTGTACGCCGTCTGGTCTTGCGCGCATCATGTGTCTGGCTCTGATACACTTGTTCCAGCCACGTGCTGCTGCAACTCCATCTCGTTCGCGCTCAGCATGCTGTGCCTGAAGTACGCGCTCACAGCCGCCTTCCTTTTGCATTGCGTTTAACAGGCTTTATGTCCTCCTAAGCTGCCAGTGGCTGGCGCAAGACGGTGCAAGCATCGACGCCTGTCAGTCCTGCTAATTATGCGATATGAAGGCGAATGCTCACGGTTAGGTGCACGCCATTCGTAGCGTCCGGGGCATATTACCAGTACCGGTTGAGCGATCATGTCAGTTATTGTGGAGACGGGACAAACCAATCGTGAGTCTGCCGCGGCGGATCTGGTACCTGGGCCGCAAACATCGGGGCTGATGGCATGCAAACAGGCTCCCGATGACCGTCCAGACTTCCGTATGCGAGTCTGGCATGCGAATCGACGACGCGCTATACACCATGTTTTGGGCCGACGGGTCATGGTATGTGCGCTCTCGCTTAATCCGCTTTTGTTGTATTGCATCTGAGTCCATACATGTTCTGCGGCGTGCAGGAACTAGTGAGTCCGTGCACAATATTCCAGTGCTGCGCATATGATGGAAAGAGATTGCAGCACCTCCTTCCGAAACCAATGGTCGTTGGACGATATTACGCATGGCAATGGAACGTTCACACACTGCGGGAACGACAATGAGGCACCACTGAGTACACCTTCCACCGTAGCTCCCGGGACTAGGGCCGACACGATCCGGCATGCATCAACAAGCACGGACGCCTCGAGCACCACCACGACGCAGGCCTATGCGAGCTCCGGCGCCCCATATGCTGTGCACAAGGTAAGCATAGGTGCTATCGTGGGCAGCATCTTAGGCGCGGGACTGGCCCTCCTCGCGTTCTGCGCGGTCCTACGCATGAGACGACAAAAGACCAATACGCGTGCGCCGTACGACAGGCCGTCCATGATGAAACAAGAAACTGTGCAGCTCAGCCCATATTCTGCGCCATTGGTGCCGTTGGGAACTGGTGAGTGATGCTCGTTTGTTGTTGAGATCCCTGTTCAAGCGTTATGGCCCTTTCATTGCGTTTCTAGCGGTAGACAGTCGTGTACTGACACGGCCAGCGAGCAAACCACGCATGGAGCTTCGAAGCAAAGAGCATGTCCTATCTCATGCGAATGCGGCCTCGGGCTCGGGCTCGGGCTTGGGCTCTCAGGCAGGTATGGACGCGACGACGATGACGCCTTTGTACACCGAGGATGAGGACAACGTGGCAGGTGATTTGCACAACGGAGAACGGGTAGAGTGTGCTTTGTTCACGCTGGGAGCGCTCGAGCCGGTTGAAGATGCTGGGCAAGTCGATACTGAGGAGTTTCCACCGCCGCCCGCGTACCGTAGCTCGTGGGGGTCTTCTTGATTCATGCGTATTTGCTCGGCCTAGAATAGTGATGTGAGGGAAGCCGTGTAGGAGATTTGATCATATGACGCTATAATGGGGCACATACGATTGGATAGCATACAGAGAGCGAGAGCTAGCGCTATTGAACCGTATGCTGGGACAGTGTAAGAGCGACAGACAAGAGTATAGTGTGGGTAAATGGGAAGATAGATACTATGTGAAAAAGGCTGGCTCCCATCAGGGATATTGCTTCTCAGTGACACGTAAGTTATAGTTGTGAGACGCACTGAGGGAGAAAAGAACGCACCCAGCACGGGTCTCCTCCATAAATTTCAATGATGAAATAGAGTAACACCATATCTGACGCATGCGGAGTTCCTTCGCAGTGTGAAATCAGGGACGGTACGTTTGCGGTGTTGTGTCCAGTCGAGTCGGGGAGAGCGCCGGTAAGCCTTCAATCTCGAGATCGATGCCAATGAAGACATTGATCATCTCTAGATCTGCCTCGGACTACGAAATTTGAGCGGCGCTTTTGCATGTGGCCAAACCATGCATCTCAGTACAAAACCCCGACATTGGGACCCACCCCGATGGATTCCATTCTTTCCTCCTCCTCCTCCTCCTCCTCCTCCCCCTCCCTCCTCGAAGGTTTTGATACTGGTTATGCCTTGCTAACCGTCCCTCCACGTAGAACGATTACCAGCCTCAAAGTTCTGTAATAACCACAGCCTAAGTGTCGTGTGTACCGCCGTGGCCGTCTCAGGTTGACTGCGACGAAGTAAGTAACTATTTGGTCTTGATTGATATGTGGCTCATGACATTTCACAATGACAGGCGGTACGCCGGTAGTGCTGCGGTAGCGTGCGCTTCATAGGCCCCATGAGGGCCGCTATCATTACCTGCTATTCGCATGAAATAATCCGCGAACGTTTACTGACAAACACCTGCCGGCTCCCTCACGTTCGACGGTGAAGCGTGAGCAGAGCAAGAAGATGAGCGGGACACAACTGAGGAGTGTCTAGTCGCATCAATGCCGCTCGCTGTCATCCTCCTCGGTTATTTACACGAACACTAGGCTCTAGATGCTGCCCACGCTTTGTCGGCATGGCGCTGCCGCTTGCTGTATTCTTATACGTGCCTTCGATGCTGTGCTCCTCGTGCTCATAACGTTTTTCTCGTCCAGGTTCTCTTCGTTCCGACGCTAATTCTCTTGGTCTCTCAACCCATAGTGCTAACATATTGCCTACTACATGCTATATTTATTCGCACCCGCAACCATTCTGGTAATCTCTGCCCTCGTAGGCGACACGTCCGCCGACGGGAACACTACCTGTGCAGGAAACGCGCTTGATTGGTACACGAACGCTGTCGGAGAGACACCATGTACGCCTCCGCTCTTCTTGTTGTATCTCTGCTCACTGTGACCATGTCCGACAGGCACGACCTATCAACGACTGCGACAAATATGCAACAGCGAATGCAAGTCTCACGCTGTGCTCTTCCCGGCGACGACGAGCTGACCGTGGGCATTCTTCCAGATGAGGTGCCGTCATTTCGCCCAAATACTCCTGGAGACAACTGCGACGACCAAGTGTGTATGTCGCCTCAGCATGCCTTGTCACGAGCTGCGTTGACCAGTATCTGTCATGTAGCTGCCTGCTGCTGCAACTCCATCTCATGGGCACTTAGTATGCTCTGCATGAGGCGCATACGACGCTCCCGCTCCGGACCTAAGACAGACACGCAGTCTCACACAGCGCCTACTCACAGACATCCGGACGACTCACCGTTAGTATGCGCCGCTGACAGGCCTCACTGTTGCTGCCGCTTCCGCCATCACAGCAATCGACTGCCGCTGGTGTACAGAACGTGGTCCGCCGGCATGCGCATCAAATATCCGAGTCAGTCGCGCACAAATATCGGGAAGACGGGCATAGCAACTTGCCACGTTTGCGACACATCTTGCGGTGACACTGCACGCCGTCAAATGCATTTTGGCTACGGTAAGGGTCAGCCATGCGGCGCCTGGCGAGTACATGCGAGACGCACCGTGTGGGGTAGGCACCCGCTTGGACAGTGTGATCGGAGCGCAGCACGACAGCGGGCAAGCACGATGACAGCCGGACGGACGGACACGAACGCGGGACCCAGGACGGATGAGACGAGGGCGAAACGCCACAGCTTGACGCCTTTATCCTCCGTCTATCTGCGCGCACGGGCCTGCTGGCGTGCAGCCGACGTGCCGTGCCCGTGCGTCCTTGTTCCCTCGCTCCTCCATGTCCGTTGCTCACGTCAGACCGTTCCTTTCGCGTTGCTTGACAGCCCACGGGCTCGGCGCCCGCTGCACAAGCGGAAGCGGACGCGTACGTGTTTTGATTCTCGTCTCTCGCGTGCATTCTCCCGTTGCGTAGGCACGACACACCCGCGTTGCCAAGCCGGCCTCAAGCGAGCGCGCGCGCGGAGAGAAGTATCGTATTGCGCAGGCTTCCGATTCGACAGCCGCGACGCGTCGTCCCGTGCGCCCGCGACGCGTCGTCCCGTGCGCCCGCAACGCGTCGTCCCGTGCGTCCGTCCCGTGCGCCCGTCCTGCGACGCTGTCAAGGACGCCATCGCGGATGCACAGTGGACGGCAGTCGCGCAGGATCGCCCTCCGCCAGCGTGCTGCGGGGCGGCGGATCGTAGTTTGTATTTCTCGATGCTCTAATGTCATATTCTTATGTCGTATATCCCGCTCGCGAAGCACCCGCGCATCCGACTCGGATGACAGCTATAGGATGACAGCCGCGGTGCGTAAGGATGGCAGCGGTGATAGGCGGTCCTTCAACGGAGATGGCCCGTACGGGCTCCGACGGCAACGCAGGGCAGAGACCAACAGCGCAAGGTGGGCTGCGACCAGCCGATGCAAGACAAAACATATCAGATACCGCAAGTATGGGTGTTCGCACTGTTGACGGACAAGCGCGTCCGTACGCCCCGCGTGGATATGCGCGCGCATGACGTCGCATTATCGCGTCGGGATCAGCGTGATGTTGTCGCGCCCCTGGCGCCCCTGTTCCTGTCTGTAAATATCCCGTCCTCTTCGTTTAGCCCGCGCACCATAAATACAGGTGACTCACCCTACTACGGCACGCTATATACCTGTCATTTTCACGATGCGAGCTTGAGTCGATATTCTACTCACTGAAGCTCTGACCGAACGTCGTTAGATCCGACGTCGCTCGTACCTTGTTAAGAGGTTATGAGCCCCACCTCCTCTTACGAGTTCCAGCTCAATCCGAGCGAATCGACGACCAGCCGCATCCCGAAGTTAATCGAGGATGGATCGAACTGGATCCTTTACAAGGAGCAGTTCCGTGCGGCCGTCTACGCCAAAGGATTGGTGCGGTTCCTCGAAGGCCGCGACAAGGCTCCGATTCCAACTACAGCCCCTGGCGTAGATCCGGATGCCGACGAACGCTACGAGAGCGCGAACGACGTATGGGTTGCGAAGCATCAGTCTATACGGACGATGCTGTTCCAGACCTTACCTGAGTCACTCAAGCTTCGGATTGCTTCCTTGCAGAAGGCCTCCGAAGCATGGCAGGTTGTCGTGGACGAGTACGACAACCAAGGAGAGTTCGTACAGGTCGAGTTGCTTCGACAGATGCATGCGCTCCGGTGCGCGGAAGACAGCGACCCTCGTCAGACTCTGAACCAGCTGGAGAAGCTCAGGTCAGAGTATGCGACAGCTGGGGGTCAGCTCAGCGACACCGAGTACAAGGCAATCATATTGTCTTGCCTTCCTATGTCATACCGGGGTGTTGTACGCACAATCATCACCTCGGCTCGCATCTCGTCCCTTTCCCAGGCCTCAACCACTCCCTCGGTCACGCCCACAACTCCTTCCTCGGGAATCAAACCTGCCGAGCTCATCCGTCAGATCAATGCAATTGCGCGCGACGAGTTCGCATTGAACGACTCACGATCGACTGGTGATGCCGCGCTTGTAGTTAGCAGTACTGCGAAATGCGCCAACTGCAACAAGCCTGGTCATTCAAAGCTGGATTGTTGGAGCAAGGGCGGTGGCAAGGAGGGACAAGGACCAAGGAGTAAAGCCCGTAAAGCGAAGGCGAAGGCGAAGGGCTCAGGGGGAGAGACAGCGAAGACCGCGTCAACCCAAGATGGGGATGCTTTTGCATTCGCAGTTGCAACCGATTTCGGAAAGGCATCACGTCAAAACCTGCCGACTCTCACACGTCTCCTCGACTCCGGAGCCAGTCGTCACTTTGATCCTTGCCGGGGGAATTTCATTACCTTCCGGGACATCACGCCAAAGCCAATCACATCTGCCGATGGCCGTACCTTTCATGCCACCGGGGAAGGTGACGTCCGGGTGACCACCGTTCATCACGGGAAACCTACCCAGTTTGTCCTGCGTGACGTTCTCTATGCTCCATCGATGCCTCACGCTCTCATCTCCATCAGCCGCGCTGCGAGCGCAGGCCTCAGTGTTCGCTTCGAACGCGATGGCTGTCATGTTATTGCTGCTGGCGGGTGAACTCTGTTCATTGTTGCCGAGAAGAATGGCCTATACCCCCTTGTCCATCCCCCATTGACGTCTCCCTCCGATGGCACGAATGCTTTGGCCGCTATCACTTCGCTTACCCTATCTGAGCTTCATCGCCGGATGGGCCATGCCTACGCTCCCGCCCTCCATGCGATGGTGAAGAACAACGTCATCACTGGCCTCAAGCTCGAGGACACTGCCATCCCCTTCTGCGAAACATGCGCCAAGGCAAAGCAGGCCCGCGAGCCGTTCCCGAAGGCGCGATCCAGCCCGCAGGCCACTCAATATGGTGAACGCCTCCACACCGACGTCTGGGGCCCCGCACCTGTACGAACCCCAGGCGGGAAATCTTACTATGTCCTTTTCCTTGACGATCACACAGACGAAGCCGTCGTGCACTTGCTGTCTCGGAAGAGTGAGACCTTCTCCCGCTACAAGGCATATGCTGCATGGGCGAAAACACATCGAGGTGTTACTGCCATCAAGGACCTGCAGTGCGATCGCGGCAGCGAGTACCTTAGCAAGGAGTTCGAAGCTTACCTTGAGGGGGAGGGCACTGCTTATCGCCTCACGGTGCACGACTCGCCACAGCAGAATGGCAAGGCCGAACGGCTCAATCGCACGCTTGCTGAACACGGGCGTGCCATGCTCTTCAATGCTGGACTGCCGAAGACACTGTGGGGCGAAGCCATCACACACGCAGCGTGGCTACGCAACCGCACTACCACTCGCAACACGCCCGGATCGACCCCGCATGAGCGCGCAACTGGTGTGAAACCAAACCTGGCCAACCTACCACGGTTTGGTTGCACGGTTTGGGTCTGCCACAACGCTGTGTCCAAGCTCGACCCGAAGTCGCGCGAAGGACGCTGGGTTGGGTTTGATGCACGCAGTAAAGGCCATCGCATATACTCCCCGACTACCCGCTCGGTGTCCATTGAGCGCGATGTGCACTTCCCTGCTGACACATCTGGCTCTGTGCCCGTGGACGTTCCCGTTCCGTCTGAGGGGGAGCACTCGCTATCCAGCCAAAACGTGCCCGCTCCCGTGCTCGCTCCCGTTCCCGCTCCCATTCTTGCACCTGCCGCTCCCGAACCTGCTGCAACTACAGCACCAGAACCTCCTGTCCCGCCGACCATGCCAACCACCGAACCACGCAGAAGTCAGCGCATTCGGAAGCCGACACAGTGGGTCAAGGACCTGCAGGCTGGCGAGGGCACAGCAGGAGGACGTGGTGCTCAGAAGGTCCCTGAGAGCGTGACCGAACGAGCAACATATGCGGATGCAGCAAAGGAGCTGGACTCGGAGGATGAGACGCTCCATGCTCTCACAGCAATGAATGGAGACGAACCTACCTATCGCGAGGCAATGGCAGGCCCGGAGAGCGAGGATTGGAGGGTGGCGATGGAGGAGGAATTGGCGAAGATTGAGGCGATGGGCACCTACGAACTGGTCGAGAAGCCAAAGGGCGCAAACATCGTTGGGTGTGTCTGTGATACAATGGTCTTTACTCCTATATCGATGCCTGACTCGTAGACGACGAGCGAGGACTTATGGACAGTGCGTCGTCCTGAAGATCGAGCGAGGAAGTCGAGAATGACCACTACCCCAAGCGAAGAGGAGCAGAGACTTGAATGAATAACCAGGTCGAACTTAGGGTTCGACCGACTAATGGTACAACTACTTATACAAGTACCGACTGCGCACGGACCATCGTGTCTATGTGGTCGTGTTAGTGAAGAAAGAAACGTAGTGGTACGATACCAGGCACGAAGTGCGCACGGACCCCATTATGTAAGCTACATAATGTTCAACCTGCGGGTGAGCGCTAAGACAGGCGCCAGTATGGGCGCTAGTAGTACAAGGAATAGAACGGAAAGACAAATGTTTCATTACCCCCCTACCAGAGTCGAAGTCCCATTCGACTACTTACTGCTCACCGTCTCCATACAACTCCCAATCTACGCCGTCGTCCTCCTCTTCGTCGAACCACTCCTTGCGTGCGTTCCTCCCTACGTTCAT